TTGAGCCCCGAGGCCTGAGGGTGTACTCCAAACTGGAGGCCGAGAATGAGGAAGCAAAAGCAGCAGGAGCGTCAACTGTTGGAGGCCCGTGCGGAATTCTAGAAGCGGCGCTGGACCCCCCCCCCTCCCTGGCGCGCGGAGCGCGCCAAGGGCGGCCATAGAGGCACCGCCAGGGGGGCCGAGCGCCGATCCAGGAAACCTGCGCGGAGCTCAGAAAGTTTATATGTATGAAGTTCTTTCTTCTCTTCGAGACAGAACCGGACGTTCGTAAGACTGGTTTTAGTGGGGTCTGGTTCAGTGATGTGTACCTGGAGACGCCTCCCCTCCTCATTCCACTAATCGTAACTGCCGCCGCCCGAATAAACACGAGCTACGGCAACCCTGGTTTGGTGATTATGTTTCATTTGTTTGGACTCGCGGCCCAATCACTAACCGGCTCCCCATCACACGAGGTCCTGGCCATACCCAAGAGAAGTACGAGGAGATGGACGGGGAGGCGGCTGTCCTTACCTGCCTCCTCCGCCCGCGTCCTTGTTCCTCCCCCTCGGCCCCCGCTCTCCCTGAGGAGAGGTGCACTTCGGGCACGGCCTGCTGTCTGAATCACCCACCCCTCGCAGGGTCATACCAAGCCATCCTGCGCGACCTCGGAGGAAGAGGAGGGGAACGCATGAGAGGGAGTGGAGGGGGACAGACGGGGAGGCGGAGCGCCTGTGCGAAGGGGGCCGGTCGGACAAGGGGCGGAAGCCACCGCCGCCGGACAGGCAGCGGAGGCTCGGGAAGTTCGAAGGGGGCTGGGAGGCCCAGCCAGCAGCTTCGCCCTAGGCGAAGCCAAGCTCCAGCTCTGTTGTACCGTAGTAACGATAGTCCCAGTAGGAGAGGATGTGCCATCTTAAATTATCCTGGCGAAGGGCCCAACCATACGCAATTCCGAATGCCGCCGTTGTAAGTATCGTCGTTGGTGGAACACCCGATGGGGCCACGAAGCGTGTGAGAGGTGCGCCAAATGGAGGTGGAACTGCATGCGGACCCTGCCACTGGGGCCTTCGGTGGAGCACCCTGTGGGGCCGCGAAACGTGTGAGGGGTGCGCCGAAATGGAGGTGGAACTGCATGCGGACCCTGCCATTGGCGCCCTCGGTGGAGCTCCCTATGGGGCCGCGAAACGTGTGAGGGGTGCGCCGAAATGGAGGTGGAACTGCATGCGGACCCTGCCACTTGGGCCTTAGGCGGAGCTCTCTATGGGGCCACGAAACGTGTGAGGGGTGTGCCGAAATGGAGGTGGAACTGCATGCGGACCGTGCCACTTGGGCCTTAGGCGGGGCTCCCTATGACGCCACGAAACGTGTGAGGGGTGCGCCGAAATGGAAGTGGAACTGCATGCGGACCCTGCCACTTAGGCCTTAGGCGGAGCTCCCTATGGGGCCACGAAACGTGTGAGGGGTGCGCCGAAATGGAGGTGGAACTGCATGCGGACCCTGCCACTGGGGCCTCAGGTGGAGCTCCCTATGGGGCCACGAAGCGTGTGAGGGGTGCGCCGAAATGGAGGTGGAACCGCATGCGGACCCTGACACTTGGGCCTTCGGTGGAGCTCCCTATGGGGCCACGAAACGTGTGAGGGGTGCGCCGAAATGGAGGTGGAACCGCATGCGGACCCTGACACTTGGGCCTTCGGTGGAGCTCCCTATGGGGCCACGAAACGTGTGAGGGGTGCGCCGAAATGGAGGTGGAACCGCATGCGGACCCTGACACTTGGGCCTTCGGTGGAGCTCCCTATGGGGCCACGAAACGTGTGAGGGGTGCGCCGAAATGGAGGTGGAACCGCATGCGGACCCTGACACTTGGGCCTTCGGTGGAGCTCCCTATGGGGCCACGGAACGTGTGAGGGGTGCGCCGAAATGGAGGTGGAACCGCATGCGGACCTTGCCACTGGGGCCTTCGGTGGGGCTCACCATGGGGCCACGAAACGTGTGAGGGGTGATGGTGATGATGACAGCGATGATGCTGATGATGATGATGATCATGATGATGATGATGATGATCATGATGATGATGATGATGATGATGATGATGATGATGATGATGATGATGATGATGATGATGATGATGATGATGATGATGATGATGATGATGATGATGATGATGATGATGATGATGAGAGGGAGGAGGGAGGAGGGGGAAGAGGAGGAGAGGAGAGGACGCGGGCACCGTCTCTTCAAAACGAGGACCCAACACCACAGGATGGTTGGGAACAAAGAAGATCCTTTTGGTCTCGATAGCACGTGTGTGCCTCGCGATGAGGCGCAGTCATATTTGGGCGGCCGGCCGCTTGAGCCGACGCGGCCGCGGGCACGCGCTCGCTTCCGCTCCTTAGTCCCTCAGTTCGCTTTAGAGTCGAGGGGGGGGGGAGACGAAGCGTGAGTCCGCCTCCCCTATACAGCAGGCACAGCAGCTAATACACCAAGGACAGAGGGCGGGCCAGAAGGAGGGTGGACCCGCTCGCAAGTTGCCTTGCTTGTACAGCTCTGTCCTTAAAGTACTCCTCAGGCCCCAGTGGGACCGCCCGCATGCGTCCCACACACTAAATGTTGCATTTTCACCCACCCCCATGACAGCGTTTCGTGGCCCCACAGGGAGCTCCACCGAAGCCCCCAGTGGGACCGCCCGCATGCGTTTCCACGCCCTGTTCAATATTTTTCGCCCACCCGGTACAGCACTTCGTGGCCCCATAATAGGGAGCTTCACCGAAGCCCCCAGTGGGACCGCCCGCATGCGCCCACACACACACACACACACACAACTTGGCGCTTTCACCCACCCAGTACAGCGCTTCGTGGCCCGCCCCATAGGGAGCTCCACCGACGCCCCCAGCGCTACCGCCCGCATGCGTTCCCTCCCACCCAGTGCAGTGCTTCGTGGCCCCATAGGGAGCCTCACCGAAGATGATATTCACAATTGCGGTACCCACAACTGCATATGGTTGGGTCCTTCGCCACGTTTGTTTTTGGGGGGAGGGGTATTCCCCCCACCGGCTTGCAAACATACCAGAAGAGGAATACATATGTATACATCTCTTTCTATGATATATATATATATATGTATACACATCTACATATATATACATATATATACACATATATACATATATACATACATACACATACCTATACGACCACACTTCGGGTGATAAGGAGGTCGTGGGGAGCCAACATCTGATGCAATCGATCTAACTATCGATCTCACTCAACGGGGCACCATGGGACACCACGCCACGGGACACCACGGGACACTTGTCGATCTCAGTATAAATCTCACTATCGATCTCACTCAACGGGACACCACGTGACACCACGTGACACCACGGGACACCTCGGGACACCGCGGGACACCTCTCGATCTCACGATCGGTCTCACTATCGATCGCACTATCGATCTCACCCAACGAGACACCATAGGAAACCACAGGACACCTCGGGACACCACATCGATCTCACTATCGATCTCACTATCGATCTCGCTATCGATCTGAACCAACGGGACACCACGGGACACCACGGGACACCACGGGACACCTGTCGATCTCACTATCGTTCTCACTAGCGATCTCACTTTTTGGGACACCACGGGACACCTCGGGGCACCACATCGATCTCAGTATCGATCTCAATATCGATCTCACTATCGATCTTACTATCGATCTCCTTCAACGGGACACCACGGGACACCACGGGACACCGCGGGACACCGCGAGCCACCGCTGGACGGGCGGGAGGGGGAGAATCATTTGTCTTGACTTCTCCCTAGCAACGGCGTACACCTTGGGACACCAGCCGGACACCGGCGGGACACCGCGGGCCTTTGGTCGCCGGAGGAGAAACATGTGGTCCGGTCGCGGCCCAGCCACAGGAGAATTTCGGGACACCAGCGGGACACCGGCGGGACATCGCGGGCCACCTGCCGCCGGAGGAGAAACATTTGGTCCAGCCGCGGCCCAGCCACAGGAGGATTTCCTCTCGCCCGCACACGCAGCTTCGCCTCGCCCGCACGCACGCACGGCACGCACGACACGAACCCGAAACCGAAATCGATTTCCCGGTAGGGCGGGTCTCCGTTTCACGTCGGACTCACCCCCCAACCTCCGATATGCATACATGTCTATATGTACATATGTATGTATACATGTTGCTTTACTGCTACATACCGATACGTCACCATTTCCCGGCCCAATACTTGTCGTTAGGGGTTCTTCCTTCTGGAATGAGCAACTGGGCGTGGGAGTCGGTCTGGCGGTTATACAGTCGCCATCTCCACCCCGTCACCGCCTCGTCGCCGCCCGTCGTCTGGACCTGGGGGTCGGTCTGGCGGCTATGCCGCCGCCGTCGCCACCCCGTCGCCGCCCGTCGTCTGGGACTGCATTGCTGCGCATTGCTTCGCATTGCGTCGCATTGCTGTGCCACGATGTGCCGCGCATTGCGTTCCATTGCTTCACATTGCATTGCGTTGCTTCGGGTTGCGTTGCATCTGTTTGCATTGTTTTGCATTGCTCGGGCACAAATTGCACAACATACATTGCACCACATAGTTTGCACCACATATAGTTCCATCACAGTCCAAGAAGGCTTCCCTAAATGCTCAGACGAAGCGGAGCGGGCCTTCAAATATTGTGTAAACACATGTGCACCCAAACCAAAACATATCGGCGGCTGGAATAACGCGTACTTTTCTCCCACGAGGTCACCACTGGAGGCAGCAGTCCTGGAATAGCCCAGCGTTTTTAGTGGCGAGAACAATCCCTACATTGGACACAACCTTGTGACACACCTGACCAAAAAATGTAGTGTCTTGCAGATCATCCTCCCGTTCATGTTGATCATCTTCCTCATCCTCCTCCGCGTCCGCCTCCTCCTCACCCTCCTCCGATTCAACTGCGTTGATTCATGTGGAAACTCTCTACCGCTGTGATGTGGAAGATAAACAGGCCCGCAATATAGGCTATACATAGGACTCACGCTCCGAGCGCCAGCTTCTCCCGCTCGGCTACCCAAAATGGATGTTCACCATGCACTCGTCTGATCTCAATTGCCCGAAGCGTGATGACACCCATATCGTCCTCTAACGGCTCCAGCTCGAAGAGCAAATACTCCCGCAAGAACTTGTGGACGGCAGGTCCGAGCACCCGTTCCCCGTCTTCACTGTGCAAACCTTTGCCGACGACCACAGTCATGCCTTCGCGCAAAGCTGGATTGTCTCGTGGGAGAAGAAGCACCTTCCTCAACACGTAATACATTGCTACCTTGAGAAAAACATATACAACATAACCTACGCATAGTTGTGTTTAACCGTGAGATGATGAGATAGCTTCCACGTAATGTAATGTTCGCCGTGGACTTGATTGACGATGAAGGCGTAGCGTGGTGCATATCGTTAAGTGCATTCCGCATGCGTGGCGCATTCAGCGTGGCGCATTCAGCGTGCGGCCGCGAGAGATCTGCGTCGTGCATTGCGTTCCGCGTGGTGTACAGCGTGGTGTGTATCCGGCGGGTCCCACTGGGCGCGTGCAGCGTGAATGGTTGGGCGTGATATGCTAGGCGTGGTGTACGTAGCGTGGTGGACCTAGGAGCTGTGCATTAGTGCGCGCTGTACTGGTCGCGCGGCGCTTAATGTGCGGCCGCGAGGGCCATACTCCAGGGCGTTCCGCGCCGTGGAATGTATTTCACGCCGTGCGGTTTGCCTCAGACGGTCTTTGCACCAGGAGGAGGAGGAGGAGGAGGAGGAGGAGGAGCAAACGTACCCTGAGGGCCAGTCCCGATCCAGCTCTAGGCGCGGAGCGCCAAGCGCGCTGCACCAGTGACCCGCGTGGCTGATTCGTATGTATGATAAGCCGAAACGGCCAGAGAGTCCTTCGATTTATGGTGAATGTGGAAGGTAAGGACGGTGGCTTCGACAGCCTGGAGGCGCGTTATCTCACAGTCTTCTGTGCCGTACTCGGTCGGGGCAGGAGGAGGAGGAGGAGGAGGAGGAGGAGGAGGAGGAGAAGGGGGGGAGGAGGAGGAGGAGGAGGAGGAGGAGGAGGAGGAGGAGGAGGAGAGGAGGAGGAGGAGGGAGGAGGAGGAGGAGGAGGGGGAGGAGAAGGGAAGGGGGAGAGGGGAGGGGAGATGGGGGAAGAGGGGGAGGAGGAGGAGGAGTAGGAGGGGTGTGCCGAGGGTTTGCCCCGTGGCCGCGTGTGCCCACTCGTTGCCGCTCGTAGTCGCTGCTCGTCGCCGCGCGTAGTCGCTGGGCGGGTGCCGAGGTCTCGCCGCTCGTCGCCGCTCGTAATCGCTGGGTGGGTGCGTCGAGGGTTCGCCACTGCCGCTCCTCGCCGCTGGTGGTCGCTGGGCGGGGGGGTCGAGGATTCGCCACGTGGCCGCTCTTGACCGCTCGTCCCCGCTAGTAATCGCCGACCGTCGCCGCTCGTAATCGCGAGGCTTCGCCCCGCGGCCGCATGTGTCCCCTCGCCACTGATCGTATTCGCTGTGTGGGTATGGCCAGGATTCGCCACGTGGCCGCACACTCCCGCTCGTCGCCGCTCGCAGTCGCTGCCCGTCGCCGCTGGTAAGTGCTGGGTCGGAGTGCCGGGGATTCGCCACGTTGCCGCCCGTGCTCTCTCGTCGCCGCCTGTAATCGCCGCTCGTCGCCGCTCGTAGTTCCCGCACAATCCCGGGGGTGCGTTCGGGCAATCTCGGGGGGAATTCCGGAATCCATGTAGCAGTCTGGGACGCGCTGAAGATCGAAGGCGCAAACACCGCCAAACCGATGAAGACCAAATTGGAAACATTGGATGTTTGTGAAAACTCAATGCGGACAACTAGATTGTGACATTTCCGCGTGGTGGCGTTCGACGCCCAAGAGGCCTTCAATCAGTAGAATTGTATGCGCGGTGCCCCTCAAGGGCTGGGAACAAATCCCGAAACAACTTGTCCGCAAGAGTCCTGCAACTGTTCTCTAAGAAACCGAGTGCGGGGACCGCCGGATCTGGAATCGGTCGGGCACCTGGTCTCCCGCTATCTCCCGTTGCCTCCCGTTATCTTCCGTTGTCTCTGGTTGCTTCCCGCTGTCTCCCGCTGTCTCCCGTTGTCTCCCGCTGTCTCCCATCGTCTCCCGCTGTCTCTCAGTGTCGGTCGCGAAAACGCTTCCCGAGCGCATCACGCATCGTTTAATGAAAGTCGCAGCATGTCGTTTGTGTTGTTTGTTTGGTGTTGCCCGCTGGGAATATTCAGCGTATTGCAGTTGACGTGGTGACTTTAGCGTTGTGCATTCAGCGTGGAATCTCTCAGGTGGTGCACTCAGCGTCCAGCGGGGGCGTATTGACCGTAGTGCGTCCGGCGTAGTGCATTCAGCGTGGTATCCTTAACGCGAAGTATGCGGAGTGGCGCATAGCGTGCGGCCGCGAGAGCGTTGCCCGAGTGCATTCCACGTCGTGTAGTGCACTTCGCGTGGTGTATACTCTGTTGTGTAGGTTGCATGGCCCCCTGAGCGTAGTGCATCTAACGTGGTGTATGTGCAGCGTGGATGTAGCGTGGTGTGGTCAGCGTTGTGTGGTGCATATGGCGCAGTGTACCCAGCATGGTGCCTTTCGCGTGGCCGTTTAGCGCGCGGTCGCAAAAGTGCTACCCGAACACACTCTTCGTTGTGTAGTGCTTGTCACATCGTGTACTGGTGCTATGTACCTGGCGTGGTCAATTGAGCATGGTGCATTTTGAGCGGTTGGTGCCTAGCGTTGTGCACCTCGCATGATGTATTTCGTGTAGTCGACTGAGCGTGGTGTAGTTAGCGTGGTGAATTTGGCTTCGCTGGTTTCGTGTGGTGTATGCAGCCAGGTGTAGGTCTGCTCGGTGTGTTCTACGTACTGTGTCCACTCAGGCAGGATGTCGTCAGCTCGAAGTTCGTGGCCAAGCCTGCGATCGGCAGGACATATGCGGACGCTCGCTAGAGTGTCACCCAAGTGCGGTCCGCGTGTCCATTCAACTCAATGCATTCAGCATGGCCAGTTTCAGCATCGCGCAATAGCGTGATGAAGTCCGCGCGGTCCACGCGGCCAGGCGGGACGCGTCCTCTTGGATAGTCTAAGCAATCGATGCCGGCAGGGGTAATCGGCTGGGGTGTGGTTTCGGGCGTTTCGCATGATGTCGAATTCTGCGTAAGATATCTTGCGACGCGCAGTTCGTGTGATACATGTGGCGTTGTACACCACGGCGAGGCGTATCTAGCGCAGAGCATGTAGCGTGGTATACTTAGCAAGTTACATTCAGCGTTGTGCATTTAGCGAGGTGTATTCAGTTTTCGGTCGTGCGGGAATGCGTCCTGTGCCGTGCGGAATTGGGGTTTCGGGCGTTCGCGGGCCCGGCCCAGGCCAGGAGGCCCCTTCACGACACATTCCCGCACAGCCCAGAACGCACTCCCACACTCGCCCATGGCACAGGACGCGGGACAGAAGGCCCAGGACGCACTCCTGCACGGCCAAAGACGCGTGACAGGAGGCTTGCAACGCACTGCAACACGGTCCAGAACGAGAAACAGGAGGCACAGGAAGCACTGGCCTAGGACACACTCCCGCAAGATAACCCCGCGCGGGTATACAGCGTAGCGTATCTAGCGTAGCGTGTCGAGCGTAGCGTATCTAGCGTAGCGTATTCAGCATAATGCAGCATCTTACTTATACGGCATGCCATGTCTCCGTTAAATCGTTTGCCTCACATCACCTGGCGGTACCTCTAGCGCCGCCCACTGCGAGCTTCTCACGCTAGGGGAAGGGGTACAGCGCCGACCCTAAACACCCGCACAAACCTTCGCAATACATGTTTATGCCGTTATTGTTCCTCCAACCTTGGCCACATCTTCGCTGAGGCCGTGCAGGTCCACGACATTGCCCAAACGACCTTCGCCTGCAGAGTGGATGCTGAACGCGCCGTGTGATAGAGCCTCCTCGAACAGGCGCGCCGGGTCCTGGGCGGCCAGTCACAAAGACAACGAATCGGCCTTATCCTTTTCCTCTCCTCCTCCTCCTCCTCCTCCTCCTCCTCCGACTCCTCCCCAGCCATCACCACCATCATCGGCAGCATCCATCCATCCATCCATCCTACATCAGACTTTCCCTTCGCCCGGTGCTCATTATTCCGCCCCTCCTTCCCCTCCTTCTTCTCCTCTTATCACCACCTCCCGTCCTCGTTTTTCTCCTCCTCCATTATTTGTCCTTACCAAAAAATCCTCCCTGTCGCATCCCGAAGCTGGTCGAAAGTGCGGGCCGGGCGTTTCGCCTGAGAGTTGTTCACTTCTTTTGATCTTAAGGCTTGAAAATTGACAACAGATTCGCACATGGAGGAGGGGTGGTGTTCAAAAAGGCTCTCGCCGTGGCGCCGCGCACATTCGTTTGAACAAATTGCAAGAGTTTCGCGTACTGAAAGCGGGCAGTTTTCAAAATGTGGTTCTCGCCTGAGCGCCGCGCGCATTCGCCTTTAAAAACTACACGAGACTCTTGGATTGAAGGCGGCTCGTTTTCAAAATGTGGTTCTCGCTTAAACGCCGCGCGCATTCATTCGAAAAACTTGCAAAAACTTCACGGATTCCCATGGCCAACGTACCACAAACTGTGTTTCGAACGGAATCAAGACTGCAAGGGTGAGGCAGTCGCTTAGATTCGCAACGGCGAAGTCCAGGCAAGGAGTTCCGGCACGATCCAGGATCGTCAACACGCAACAATCAGATTGATACGTGGCGTTGTAATCCCGAAAATGGTTTTTTCACACGCATCAAGGTTTTCAAACTGTTGTCACCCAACGATGCAGTTCCATCAATGGAAGCGAGCTCTTTCTTTGGAGGGAGAAAATGGGAGCGGACACCAACAATGAAAATCCAGCCACATCCGCCTGTCGCATGATAGGAAACTAGCACCGCGCACTGAGCGACGGAGAACATGAACCGCACCGGCGGTTTTTTGCGCCAACGTGTTTGAGAGGCACGGGCAAACATGTACACTGAGAGCAAGATATACTACACAGTTTCGACTCTAGGGAAGCGGGAGACCCCTCAAATCGAAAATAAGCCGTCGCACCCAAACTTGACCAGCAGTTGGCACTGGCCGGGGCTGCAACTCCCGCCCCCCACTGCAAACAGAAGCAAACACATCTCTGGAAGAGAAGGAGGATGATCGAAGAGGGACAGAAGGCGTATGATACGAATTTAGCCAAAAAAGTACCGCCCCTGGGTGCGACAGCAAGGTAGGTGTCAATCCCTACCGAATGGCCCAGACGGCCAAATCAGTGGCACCCACATAACCCTAAACTTTCAAAAGAAGAGGAGGAGGAGGAGGAGGAGGAGGAGGAGGAAGAGGAGGAGGAGGAGGAGGAGGGAGAGAGGACCACAGGGCTTATAATGCCAGGCCTGTGGCGTCATGCCCATCGTGGTCCACTCGCGGAGCAGGCCGACAAAGAACCGCAACTGGGTGGCCAGAGCTGACGCGGAGGAGAGGGAGGAGGGGAGGCAGGAAAGGGGGCAACAAGAAGAGGAGCCAGCTGAGCGGCACAAGGTTCGCCAACTGACGGCAAGCTGAGCTGATAGCGGGCAAGCTAAGTTTCTAATAGCGGGTCATGCAGACATGCGGCGTCAGGACAAGAGCTCCAAGGCCCGCGGGCGGCCGCGCGCGGCCCCCCGCAGACCCTGCAACAGGGCACCAGGGCTCGTCGGCGTCGAGGGGGTGGAAGAAGATGTTGGAGGCGTAGACGAAAGACTGGCTGTGGAACGTCTCCAACTGCGGCTGCTGGCTTTCATGGCATGCATGACAGCGCAGTGCAACGGCGCCGCCCTGCAAAGCATGACGTGACTCCGGGGGCGCATGGCGGCCCCCATGCCGAGGAAAACCTCCAGCGCTCGTGCGCCGCGCACCCGGAGACGCAGGCGGCGTTGTGCAAGCTACTGGATGACCTGACAAGTTATCGATGCTGTTCTCCATCGGGCTGACGAACCGAAATCGCGTCCGATGCTGGAAGCGGCGGCCTACAACGAGCCCGTTGCACAGGATCCTGAGCGCGGCCGCAAGCACGCGGGGGGGAGCGGAGTTCTCGAGCCCCTGGAGAAGTAGGACTGCGCGACTCACTCACCGGCTGGGGGGGGTCTGCATCTGCCACCTGCCCAGGCGCCGCCGCAAATGCCGGAAGGCGTCGTCGGCGGAGGGGGAGCGCAGGCAGTTGTAGCAGATGCGCTGCCATCTGGCCCTGATCGCACGTTCCGCCATGCCCTCGGGGACATGGGGGCCCAGCGGGGATCTCTGGAGCTCGTCGCGGGCCTGCTGCAAATTGCGGAGGGGCAAACTTCGGACGGAAATTCCCCTGGCGCGCCCGCCGGCCCAGGAAGTCGCAGCCCGCGGTGGCCCCGTCGAGGTTGCGGACGCGCTCCGAGACCTTAAGTCCGCCAGTCTCGCGGCGCGCCGCGGCCCGCGCGGGCGCGGGCCAGCCAAGCGGACCCAGAAAAAAATCAGACGCGCCGCCTGCTCGGCCGCTTCCCACGCGACTGGGGGGGGCTCGAGCTGAGCCACAAACATGAACACGGAAAACAAGCACATCTTGCATGCGAGGACACTCACAAGCATTCCTCCCCCAATGTCCCTTCAGACCTTTGCCTGTTCCCCGAAGTACTTGGCGTAGAACTGGAAGGAAGTGCCGCCGCGCGCATTCAGCACATCCCTCGCTGCGTCGACTGGAGAGCAGAACAGCGGGGCGACCGCCGACTAGCCGCGGCGGAGGCGAAGGCCTGAGATGAGCTCGCGTTCCTCAAATATGGGCCCCAGGATTCCCACGTCGGCGCTGAGCTTTGCGAGGGTCGCAGCCAGATCGTCAGCGCCAGCTCGGATAGTGGCAGTTGGGAGAGGGCGGCGTAGACGCTTCAGTGGCAAGTCCGCCGCCAAAGCGAAGAGAAGTGGAGACAGGGGGGCACCCCTGTCGAAAGCTGGCGGTCAGTTCGAACCCCTCGAACCTGTCTCTCTCCACCTGTGCGCAGCAGGAAATTCCGGCGGCAGAGCTGCCTCGCAAATGTGACGATATCATTGGGGGGCAGGCCGCTCTTCTGGACGCAGTCGAGGAGGGGGCCGTGGTCCACGCTGGGGAGGGCCGACATGCAATCGAAGAACACCGCGCCGCTCTCGCCACACCGCGCCGCCGCTACGATCACGGGCCCCATCGACGTCCAAGACGCCAGCGATCACGGGGCGCCCCGCGCGCACGCGCGCGCAAACCCTTTGCATCGAGGGTATTCTCGCATCGAAGGCGGGATCGACGCGAAGCTGGACTGCCTTGGCCGTCTTGCGGTTGTCCGTGTTGGTTACGTCGAACGGTCGAGCCCCCGCCCGCCTCGTGGACATCCCGGCCGTCTCCGTCCTTCCCCGCCCGGGTTTGGGATAAGAAGACCATCGCGCTCTCGTTGGATTCTGGCTGCGAATCGCCGGTCGCCTCCGCGCCCTCCGACTCCACGATCTCCGGGCACGCCTGGCGCGGCAACTTTGCGGCGCGACGCCCCAGCGCCCGCCGCGCGCCGAAAGGGGTGCCATCGGGGCCAGGCGCGGAATTTTCGGCATGTCGACGGCGCGCTCGAAATCTCTGCGAGTGGGCTGCCTGCGGCGGTCGTCATCGCGAGCAATGCGGTTTGCGGCAATGGCCTCGCGCCCCTCCCTAACCCACTCCTCCCGGAGCGGCGCTTTCGTTGGCTCGGCGGCAAGGACCTCCTCCCAGTGCTCCTCGAGGCCCGCGGCAATCACCTCTGGGGCAGCGGCGCGCCCGCCAGTTCGGAGACGCAGCGCGCGGAGAGACTCGCCTCTGCCCGGGGCGAGGCGGACCAACGGCCTCTGGCTTTTTCGCCTGCGGCGGCGAGCCTGCTCCCCGGCAAATGAGTCGAGGTCTTCGCGGAACTTGCCAGGCCCGTCGAGGGCGCGGCCCTTAGCCAAATCCGCAATACGCTCGCGAAAGGGCACGACATGGCCCAACGATCCCTCGAGCAAGCTGCACGGGCCATGGCGAAGCGCAGCGAGAAGAGGGCAGCGGCGTAGACAAGCGCCCAAGGCGCCGACGCCCCCATGTTCGACGGCCCAGATAAAACGAAGGGCAGTGCCGAGCCTGTCCTCACAGCCCGCGGCCTCGCTCGGTTTTTCCGGGCCCCAGTCCATCGCGCGGCCATTCTGCGGAATCGACGCCCCGAAAAACTCGAAGCCGCTCAATGTGCGACTCGGGTTCGGCGTGCTTGAGGCGCCCCTGGAACTCGAGCTCCACCCTGCGGGAGAAGTCGGGGCGAGCGCACGCCGACTCCTGGATGGGTTTGTCTTCCACGTTGCGCCGCCGCGGGTCATGCTTCACGAGCGCGACCGCGCGGCGCGGGGAGAGGTGGGGGGCCCGCTCGACCACCGCGTAACCGACGTGCTCGCTGAGGGCACCCGAAGGGTGGATGCTGCAACAGATGCGATCTCGCCGCGAGCGTGCACTTTCAGAGACGTGCGTGAAGCTGCCCTGGAGCACCCCCTTCACCCGGCGGTGGCTGGCGGGGCTGAGCCAGTCTCGCTCCTCGGCGGCGTTCCGACGACCAGAGCAGCCGCCCGCGGTCAGGGAGACGCGGTCGGAGCCGTCCAGGACGTAATTGAAGCCACCTGCAACAACCGTCATCGCGGTGGTCGACGACTGGATGGCCCGGGCGACCACGCGGCGCACGGCAGCATGAAGAACAGGAAACGCGGGCGGGGAGTCGCCAGCATGACCAAGGATCAACACCTCCACGTCCGCCGCACGCGCGTCAGAGCCGGTCGGGAAGTAGACGACCGATGTCGAGGTTGCCCAGGCTGTCCTTCAAGCGAAGAATCGCCGCCCTACCCAGGGTGGCGATGTCCCACTCGGTGGGAGCGGGGTCGAACGCACGCAAGAACGACTGCTTGACCACGACGCCCACTCCGGCGCGAGCCGTAGAGTGCCGCGGTGCCCACCACGACCTGCAGCCACGCGGTCCCCTCCATGAGGCGCTGCCGCCCTCCGTGCCGGGCGTCTCGGCCCACGCGCCGATGTCGCATTTCTCCATGAGCCCGGTCACATAATTACGTTTCTGGTTACGCCTGCTGAGGCAGACGGCAAAGAGGGCCTGCGCGTTCCGTGAGACCACGCTGAAATCGACGGCAAATTTGCCCTCTCGATGGGCCGACGTTGCGCGCAGGGCGGCAGCGCGCCCTCGGCGGAACGGCCAAGGCGGGAGAGACCAAGCCCCTGGACAACAACATGTGCTGACGGATCTGCTCGAGGAGGTCATTGCACCTCGCGCCCTGCGATTCGCCGGTCCGCGGGGCGCTCCACTGGAGAGGGGGGGAAGACGAAGACGAACATCAGAGCCTGGTTGACGCGAAGAGGTTGAAATTCGCCGGCCCAACGGGCCAGGGCGTGCTAAGATCTCCAGTAACTGGTTAACAGTATTAACAGTATTTCTAGTTCGCGCGCGCGGGGCGGCCCCTGGGGGCCCCCCGGCGAAAAGTACCCCGACCGACGCCCGGTCGCCGCCCGACCAAGTCTACTCAGAGATGGTTTTCCTTCTGGGCGCGGCCCCTCAGGCTCCCCAGAGCGCGCTCAGAGTGCCCCAAGAGGCCCCCAAGACTGCCCAAGAGGCCCCCGAAACGCCCAAAGAGCGCTCGAAGACGCCGAAGATGACCCCAAGACGGCCCAAAAGGCCCCCAAGACAGCCCAAGAGGCCTCCAAGACGCCCCAAGAGCCTTCCAAGAGGCCTCCGAAGAGAGCCCCAAGAGGCCAAAATCGTTGATTTTCATTGGTTTTTTCGATGTTTTTTGTGTTCTGGTTTTTTCGGCTTCCGGACGCTCCAAGACGGCCCAAGAGGCCCCCAAGACCGCTCCAAGACGGCCCACGAAGCTCCCAAGACGGCGCCGAAACGACCCAAGAGAGCCCTCAAGACGGCCCAAGTGCCGCCCAAGACGGACCAAGAGGCCCCAAGACGGGCCCAAGAGGGACTCAGGAGGGATACCGAGAACTCAAAAATGGAGCCCTCCGTCCCAGAAGGCGCCCAGGAGGTCCCAAAGAGGCCCCAAGAGGCCTCCAAGAGGCCCCAAGATGTCGCCAAGAGGCCCCAGGAGACTCCCAGGAGGCCCAAAAGAAGCCCCAGAAGGCTTCAAACATGTCTCCCAGCCGCCCCCGAACGGCCTCTCAACAGACCCCAAGAGGCCCCTCAAAGAAGCATCTTGACGACGACTCTGTTTCGCCCCATCGAGAGACGACCCCCAGGGAACTGCTTCACCATCAAAACTCCCCACGCAACGCGTCCGAACGACACCCGCCCCCAAGAGCGCAACATGGGCAACGAACACAAACAAAAACCAGCGATGCCATATCACGGGCCGGCGGAATGAGCGAAGCGATTCAATAATTGAATTCGTGAACGCGCAGCTGTTGGCGCGCTCTGGGTCGCCGCAGTACGTCGCGCCCGTCGAGGCGAGGTGCGCGAAGACGACGGCGATCACCATGGCGCGCCCATGCATGCTCAGAAAGCAAAGGATTTCTGGATGGGGGGCCCTCCTGACGCGGTGGGGCGTCTAAGGGTGACGGGCCAGCGCCCCCGCCACCCTCCCGGCGTTTCCCATCTTGGACTGGTCCTCGAGGCCGCTCGCGATCGCGACGGCTATCCTGTCCTCTCCCATGGCCAGCACCTGCCAGTGGAGCGCAGCGAACACCTGGTCAACCTCTGACTGGGAGGCGAGGCAAATCTGCCCCCAGCCCGCAGCGGCCGCGGCGTCGCGCGCCCAGGTGGACCCACTCGCTCCGCTCAGTGGCCCGGTCGTCAGGGCCCTCCTTGACCTTAACATGGCCGTCCGTGCCGAGTTGGTCTATGAGCTGGCGCATGATGTCTCTCTCGTTGGGCCCCAGTCCCCTGTTGATCGAGATGTCGGTGACGAACTGGTCGACGCCACCAATCTGGAGGGGGGTGCCGTTTTTTCGCGGGGATGCCCCTAACTGCGTCGCCGTGGCGGTGGGCGCGAGCCATGGCCGACCGCCATTGCGAGACGGCTTCCAGCCGATGCGGGTCACCACCTCCCCCGGTGTATCCATCAAGACCCTGTCGAAGAGGGGCCCCAGTTGTCTTCCCCCGCCTCCGCTTGGATGAGGGCCTTACCAGGGCCCAGGATAAGCGCCTGCGAGCAGAGGAGCCAAATCGTCACCAGCGCCAGCGCCGAGTTACACTCCACGATCTTCGCGTCTGGGTCGCCGTACAGCTTGCGGTCAGCGGTGTGCATCCTGCCGTCGGCAACGTGCCTCCTGAGCTGCTTCATGTCGATAAACTGCTCGAGCTCGGAAAGGCAACCCGGAAGGATGAGCTCCACCACATTCCTGGGCAGCTCCTTGGAGCTGCCAGGGCTCGGCCTCGGCCGACAGGCGTGGACCTGTATGTTCCTGGCGTGCATAGTGTCAGCCTGGATTAATAAATTCCTCCTGGCGCTACTCGGGAGGTCCACGACGAATGCTTTTTTCTCCCCCACGGTGGTCAGCGGGGCGACTGATAGTGATCCACTTTTCGTTGAGAATTGGGTGGGCCCAAAAATCCATGAGCTTGCTCACGGAATCCATGCCCAGGAACAACGCGATCGGGACCAGCATGCGTAGGACCGCCGGGAGACCCTCCTTGGGGAGTTTCACGAAGTTCGCGAGCAGGAGCGTCAACGCATTGTGGTCCGAAGGCACCCAAATCGTGACGGCCTTGCCGACAAGCTCGGCGAGAACCTTGCAGTCGCCTTTCTCGGCCAGCGCTGCCACCGCTCTGGCCCAGACTACATCATCCTCCTCCACGTCGCCACTGAGGATGACCGACCACTGCATGAGCAAGAACTCTTGCGGGAGGAGCACCTGTTCGCGGAGAAAGCGCTTGGCCTCCTTGCCAAGCTCCTTCCACACTGGAAGATGCGGGGCCTTGTACTTGCGCCGCTCGCGCAGCACATGGTCTAGCTGCAGGAGATACTCCTCGTGGGCCTTCGCAAACGTCTTTCCGTACCGCCTCCGCCGCGTCGAAGTCCTCTTGCCTCCAGTCGTGGAATTGTCCCATGGTGCATATGAGCTTGGCGGCCATGGCTCGGGCGTCGATGCCGTTCCCAGTGGTCTCAGGTCCCTCCAGTATCCCGAAGCCGAGCGTCTGCCATGAGCTCGCCGCGTCGAAGGCGTAGGCCAGCTTGCCAAGGACACCTGTGGTGCGCGCCGAATCCTTAGGGGGCTTGAGTAGCCTTCGCGACCTGGACGAGGTCGAAGTGCGTCACCCACTCGGAGAAGCTTTCCATGTCTATGCTGAAGACCCCCTTCGCCCGAGCGTCGTCGACGACGATATCAGAGTCGCTGCCCTCGCGGGAGTCGACGTCGTCACCGATGCCATCGCTAATGTCGTCGCTGACGTTGAGGCCGGCGGCTGTCTGGGTCAGGCCGGTACTGTCGGCTGGCAGCGCAGTCCCCAGGGGCAGCTGCGTGAAAGCCATCGAGCAACAGCTGGGAGAGGCTGCGGGAACAGAAAAGAGGTAGATGTGAGGTAAGTGCTGAGAGAGGTAAGTCCTGAGGTGAGGTAAGTCCTGACAGATAAAGAGAGAGAGAGAGAGAGAGAGAAAATAAGGCACCCCACCCTTGGCAGGGCTCCTGCTCGGGGGCCTTAGGCGGCCTTTCTTGAGCAGTATCTTGAGCAGTCTCTGGCTCAAGAGAATGGAAATGAACCCTTGTATGGGTCCTATAAAGAGGGAGCTTGGAGGGAGGGAATATTCCAACATCGTTGATCAGTCTTGGGTTTACAGTGGTCCTCCTCCTCCTCCTCCTCCGCCTCCTCCTCCTCCTCAAGATCCTCTTCCCACTTCTTCCTCTCCAACTCTTGCTCCTCCCTCGCCTCCACCTCCTTCCCCTCCCCAAGGGGGGGGAGGGGGAGGGGGGGAGGGAGGGGGAGGGGAAATACCACTGCAGGTCCTGTGGTTTTTGGTCTGCCCTTGGGGGTCATGGAACTTTGCCAGCTCTTTGCAGATCGAGTCCATGCTGAGTGGCTCTGAAGGTTCCTCCTCCTCCGCGGGGGCCACCGCCTGTGCTGAGGACCTCAACATCTCAACATCACCTCGCCTCTCCTCCCAGTCTCCTCTCCTGTTCTCCCATCCCCGCACCACTTCTGCTCCCTTCTCTCGCTTCCGCTCCTCCGCCCTCTCCTCTTCCTTCCGACCTGCTCATCCCCTCCCTCCCTCCCTCCCCTCCTCACGCCCACGCCCTCCCCCGTCACTCCCCCTCCCGTCTCCTCCGGAGACTGTCTGTGCGGGTGATGAGGCTCCAGGGCGGTCAAGACATTGCTCCGACAATTGCTGCTTCAAACCGGGGCGTAGAGTCGCCTCGGAGTCCGATTGGGCGCCGGTGGAGATGGCCCTGGAAAAGGCCTGGGCCAATCGCTTCGAAAGACGACGACATCGGGGGGAGGAACCGAACTCCTCGAAGAGGCGATCCCGAGTAGACGCTGACACCATGGCGCGGAAGCCCTGGCTTTTCGACCTGCTCAAGCGCAACAGCACGGCAGCTGCGCGCACGGAACAGCACGGCAGCTGCGCGCCTGCGGCCACGGGGGGGCCTGATGGCGGTGGGCCGCCATCTGATTCTGCCTCCGACGAGGCGAGGGGTCGTGCTCCTCGGATTAGATTCCGACGCCTCTGTCCCGTCCGCCACGGCAGGCTAAAGGCTGCAAGATGCTAGCTGCCAAGAGGGCCGAACTGAGGGGCGCTGGCGCGGAGGCGCAGTGGGCGGAGCGCGGGCGCAGGAGCACCTCGAAGCGGCTTTCGACGCGATCACGGGGGAGGCGCGCACCGCCAAAAAGCGACAGATTTGTAAGACTTTAGGTATCACGAACGACTTCTCGCACTGCCCGTCTGTGCACGGCGACGACGCTGAGAGAGTCCTCGGCCAGCACTGGGTGGCCAATATGGGGCACCTCTTCAGCGCCTGGACCGCCGCGGGACCCCGCCCAGATTTCCTCGTTCGGCGGGCCCGCGTGGATTCCTGTTCAGAGCCGCCAGCGTTCAGTGCGTTGGACGTGGGAGCTCACGCCACAGTGCAGCGCAGGTTGAGGGCCTTGCGAGATCTTGCGCCTCGCCCGATCGTGCGATGGACCTGTCGGAGGAGGGCCTGGGGAGGGCCACCCGCAATGAAGAAAAGTTCAACCGACTAGAACTCAAACCAACAGCTGCGCCGACTTCGTTTTGGAGATCCTGGTCGGGAGGCGATCTGCGTTTTTGTGGTTATCAGATGTTGGCCGCGTCTCGGCGGCATGAGCCGGCAGAGGTCCCGGAGAATGTTCTGGCGCGCCTGTCGGCGGGGGCCCGAGGCAACAGGGTGGGCGGGGGCGCGCCGACCACAAAGCGCGGCCGGGATTGGGAACCCTGCTTTGGGCGCAGTGTCTGGCGCAGGCTGTGGCGCAGTTTTTGGCGCGTGTCCTTCGTCGGGTTACTCTGGGTCGTCGTCGTTGCTGTCATTGGCGTCGCCGCTGCGCCACCTTCGTTGGATGCCGTGGAAGCCCCCGTTGCGTCGCGCGCCCGAAGCAGCAGATCCAAAAACGATGCCCGAACGAGTTGCCTGGGCTCTTGTTGAAGCCGCAGCGGGCCTCCTGGCCACAGTCGCGCAACGTCCCCACAGTCACTCCAAGAAGGCAAGGGGGACCATTTGGACTGATCACGCGCCACATGGAAAACCAATTCCGCAGCCGAGTATACGTCGCCATGCCATGCCGTAAGAGCAACGCGCTGCAAGTGGATGGGGCCCCAAAAAGGCGTCATGCGTCTCCAGTGCGCTCTGGGATTCGGGAACATGCTGGAAGCCCACAAACAAGTTGTCTGGACCTGGGAACCCGCCGCCTACCGAAACTGGCAGGATATCGTCGCGCATGGTAAAACAAAGTGTCAGCAGCCTGTCATTGCAAGCACTGGTTAGGGCAACGCCCGGGGCTTCCTGGAGTGCGCCCTGGGCCCTCGCAGGGCCTCCGCTCCAAGATTGCTGCAGGGGTGCCCCCCAAATGCCCCCCTGGAGGCCTCATTCCCAGGTGCTCTCATATTACCTGCGGCGTGCCGCGCGCCACCTGCACTCGCGCGCGCGCAAAGCGTTCCACCGAGAACTTCGCCCTCGCCCCCAGGGAGGGGCGCTCCTGGGGCCCGCTTGGGCCCCTCTTCAACCCTTGTCGGGGCTCCTTGGGGCTCTTCGCGGATGCTGGAGGGTTCGGTGAAGGTGCGCCGCCGATTTCGGGGAGCGGCCGAATTCCCTGGTTCCTCGAAGCCGTCGAATTCCCAGAGCTGCGCGAAATCAGGCATAGTGAAAGAGTAGAATGTAAAGGGACGCGGGTTGACACTGAAAAGAAGGGAGGGCGTAGGACCAGAGCGCCGAGAGGAAAGGGTCTATACTAGAGAAGCGAGTATTCATCAGGAAGGGCATGCTGTTAGCATCGCGCAGGGACTAGAACGAGACGCACATGTCTGCACAGGATGGACGGTCGAGGGATCCCCTGGGCAATGAAGAAACCTCTAAGGGCCTATGAAACATACAGGCCCTGTGTTCGACGGGTTGGTGGGACATCGTGGAGACCCCTTCGGATTCCTTGAAATTCAAATAAAATCTCGCCAATAAGCCCGAGAGGTTCCCAAGAGGGCCCCGGGAGGGGTCCACGACGGACCAACAACCTGTCACAGACAAGGCCCTGGTTCGTGACAGAGAGCAGGGCATCTTGGACCCTGCTGGAGGACCTCCTGAGGCGGCCCCGAAGCCCAGTAGTGGCCCCAAGAGGACCCCAGAGGGGGTCCAAGACGACCCGAGAACCTGTCACGGACCAGACCCTTATTCGCCACAGGTTGTTCTGCTCTCGCGGAGCCTTGTGAAGGCTCTCCTGAGGCATTCCGGAAGCGCACATAAGACCCCCAAAGTCATCCAAGAAGGGCCCCCCCTGCAGGTGCCCCAGCTTGATACACCTCTTGCAGCATAAATACTGCAGAGAACTCGACCTTCTGGGTGGGCGTAAGTCCGGGACACTTCAAATTGCAGGGGGTCCGCGGGATAAACCAATATTTCAACGATGACGCATCATTCCGAAATCCGCACACCCTTTCAATACAGAAAGATCACTGCACGGATACTGCTGCTTGTCGTCCCACAGGTACAGGGGATTGATCCATACATGCCCCACGCGATTGTACCTGCACTGATCATTGGGCAGAATACCGATAAGCTGGAAAATCTGAGTCGGAGGCATTTTGCCGCCCCGACCCGCTGACATGATGATATCGTTTGCTGAGCGCCAACTCGACATACTATGCCGAAGCAGTTTCTCCAGGCTAACCAATACCAAAACCTCGGAGTCGACACGCAGGCCGGACTGGATTCTGTTGTCGCCTGGTAGATATGGGCAGGCATGAACAAACTGTCTGCCTCTTCTCTGGCTGGTGTCGTCGGCGCGGCATGACAGTCCAATGCTAAGCACATCCAGGACGTTTGCCCACTGGATGCCATGAATAAAATAACAAGGTCAACCTGGAAGAGCCAAATTTGTGCTTCTCATATTCAATGATTCAGGGCACTTTATCCCAGGACTGCTGCGTCCGTTACTTGGCTGAATGAAATATGCCTCGAACGCCTCAGAGGAACACTGGCGCTTCTTGAGCTGTAGTCTGTTTTTCTCTGCATTCCAGCATTGTCGACCATGCCAACCAAGTCCAGCACAGCAAATGCTTGGCATGCCCAATAACGGTTCCTGAGGCACCGGCGCACAGTGTCCAGGCGTTTGTGATGATAGCGATCATATCCTTCAGGTGGCCAATGGTTGAGCAACTGTGAAAGCTCCACCCATCCGTCGCATTCATCGAAGACGGTACTGGTCGCAGAAACGCATCAAAAAGATAGCTGCTATGAAATGGCTTGTGGCGAAACGCAGTCGTGAGCCACTCTGAGCAGCGGCGCTGCTCCTCAGAGCTCAACCTTGGCCCTCTAATATTTTCCGCGTCGAGGATTCCGAACTAGTCGCCCTTCTCCCAATCGCACGTGAACGCCAGGCGCCCACGCCGAACATTACGCACCATTTGACGCGCATGATCGTCTTTGTCGGCGAGGAGGGCGGCATCCTCAACGTCGCATTGCACCGCAATGCATCGATCAGATCCGTCGTCAAGTTGAGGAAGGTATGCTGGATTGATCTTCATACGATTGGAAGTGCGTTAACTGCCCCAACGCTGTTGGCACTCCACGGGCACTTCCAAAGTAAGAGCAGGTTGCCCTGCAAAGCGCGGAGCAGGTTGCCCCGCTGAACTCTGCGCTGTCGCCGATGCTGCGCGCCCGCGAGCGCCTGCCGATGATGAGGCAGCGCCTGCTGTTCCCCTAGGCGTCCGAGGAGTCCTTGGCGGGGTGCTGATGTCAAAGTCCTGGCATTTCTTCTCCTTGATGTTGTAGTACTCTGCTGTCGCATCTTTGGGGGCTGCCCCTAACGCCGTTGATGCGGTCCCCAATTGCATTTTACCGGTACCGCGCCGAGTAAAAGAAGCACCCCTCGTGGACCCCTTCAGCGTCGGCACCCAGCCAGCCTTGCGCGCCCGACCTGGTGTAGGGCCACGACGTGGGACAGGGCCCCTCGGAGTGGGAGTGCTGGTGCCTTGAAACGCAGCGGCTGCGGCAGCCACAATTGGCCCTCTGGATCGACGTCTATCAGCAGGTTGCCCCGCAGGTCGTTGCTGCTCGCTGTCTCCAGGGTTGGGATCATCGGGGCTCTTCCTCTACTCCTGTTTGGCCGGTGGTCTGAGCTGATCAGGTCCGGGCGACTTACTCGACGAATCCGAAGGTGGAGAAACATCGATAGGCGGATCTGGCTTCGGCTTGGGCGCTGCATTAGCCGTTGCACCTGCCGGTGCCCATGGCCCGCATCGCGCGGGGTTCCTGCCGGGGCCCAGGTCTATACCGCCAGGCCTCCTGAGTGCCGCATTTCCGGCGGCGGCCTTTCCCCTGATGGACAGGTTATATTTAGTAGCACTAAGCCCCCAGTCGACAGTAGCCCTTGCCCACCCTCCAGCTCCAGCGCGGTGAGCGACACGTCTTCCCGGGGAGAGATCCATCGTTTCAGCAACGACATATATAGGATTAAAAGGAGCGTCCGCATCGGAAAGGGAGCGCGCGTCGGAATGCTCCGAGACGTACCCTTCAGGAGCCTCTTCCGTGGGGTCGACTTGTTCAGCCATTGCAACAAGTGCATAGTATTCAGCTTCTTGTTGATCCTCCTCTTCTGGTTTGGGAGTAGCAGGCCCCCCCGCGCGCCAATCGCGGTTGAACTGCTTCACTTGGTGAAGAGGTGACAGGTGTTGCCATATAAGGAAAGATCGGGGTATTTCTTCGGCTGCAGCGTGATCGTAGTCGTTATCCGTCAACTGCTCCTCATACGGCGTTGAATTAGGATCGGTGCAGTCACCCCGACCATCACCATGAGACCAAACCCACGCTGTCCTTTGAAAGTTCGGGCTTCTTGATGGGCGCCTCACGGGGCAGCCAGGCCTGCGGTCGGCATATTCGGGGCACGAGCAACAGACGTTTTTGTAGAGCTTCCGTTCCTCGACGATAGCTCTGTTGAGGTCGCGCTTGATAAGCTTCCCTTGTGATTTGACAGGCCCTGTCTATTTCGAGCGCACGATATTGCCATCTTCACCTCGTTTAATATTGCGAAGAGAATGCCAGTGACGACTCTGGCGATCGGTCCAGCCCTTTGTTAGCCGATACTGCAAAGCACATGGGGATCTGCACTGGCGAGCCAACCCAGTTGCCGCATAGCCAGCACGACGCAGTAGTCCGCCACCTGGATGCTCTTCTCGGGGCTGCTCTTCTAGAGGCGGGCGCCCCCGCAGACGGCCCCTCCTTGCAGGAGCGCCAGGTCTATTGGCCCGCCTTGGAGGGGCCTTTGGAGCACCCGCATCAGGAGGATGGGGGCGCCGAAGGCAGCTCGAGCGAGCGCCACTGGAACGTTCGCGCGCCCGATTAGGTGAGCGACTGGGAATGCGACCGCGGCGTTCCAGACGATCGTCAGTTTCCCATCTGTCGTCATCATCATCGTCGCGATACTTTTTCTTCCAGACCTGGCGGCTAGCCGATCGCCTCTGGCGGCTCATGGAGCGGTCCGAAGCAACGAATGTGCAATGAAATCCTTCATCGTGGCCAAGCTCACATTGAATGCGCCCAGACAGATCACTAGCGTCTCGCTGGCTTCCCCGCAAAGGGCCGTCGTCACTCAATTCCATGTTTGTCGGATTTCCCATAACCCGAGGATAGAGCATCAGCTGTATCTCCTCATCCGTTGCAGGCATTGTGACTTCTGAATCCGCGGGTGCCCCCGCCATGTCTGCATCGCCTTCGGCGGGCGCGTGGAAGTTCTCGACAAACTCAATATCTGCAGGTTGCCCCGCGACGGGTGTGCCCAGCCATTCTGCCAGATCGATATTGTCGTGGCCAGTGAACACCACCTCGAACAGCTCGTCGGCACAATCCTCGAGGGCCATGCTGGCGCCGAGGTATCTGGCAGCCATGAAGTTGACAACTGCAGCTGAGCTATCGGCAGGGTCAGCTAAAAGAGACTCCCAATCAACATACTGCATGTCAGAGTCGGTTTGAGTCAGATGTAGTGACGGACCCCTGCCTCTCCCATCGCCTTGAGGGCATTCGCGGCGAAAGTGCTGTGTACTGTGGCATATGTCGCACTCCATAGTCTTACCATTGGCATCCTCCCGACGTCCTTCACTTTTTCCTGATGCACGCCTGCGGCTTCTGCCTGCACCTAGAAACATGTCTTCGCACTGTGGCCCGGTGAGGAATGCTAGGAATGCTAATATACCACTACCATGCAATCGCCGACGCTTACCTATACCCTTACTTCGACCCTTGCCTTTTCCCTTGAGTGCTCGTCGTACGATACGCCGTACTTTACGGACGGGTTTCTTCATGAATCGCCTCCATCTGCGCTTATGGTTTTGGCATCCTAAAAATAAGCATTGCGCCTGTTGCTCTTCCGTGAGGTATGTAGGCATATCGGAGTAATCAAGGGCTGCGTCCTCATCGTCCGAAGACGCATCTGCGTCTCTACTGGAGTCGAAATCGGACTCGGCAGGTTGCCCCGCTAAGCCCATTAGGGCCATGGCTTGCACAGGGGCCACCGCGTCGGGCGGCCCCCGAAACCTGGCCCGGGAGTCTTGCGACCCCGAGGCCGATCCACTGGTCTGAGCCAGTAGTGTAATGGTCTCAGTTGGTTGTGGATCGTCATTCCAGACGCTGTTAGCAGGTTGCCCTGCGTTAGCCTCCGCGTAAAAGGTCTCGGTTCGATGGCCGTGACTGAAAGTACCACCAATGTTACCAGGGGGCCTCTCAGCAATCTGAGCATATGACCACATACGTTCGAGTAGAGCGTCAAACTGTTGCGGGTCTCTCGGCATGTGGTGGTTTAGAGGCCGCAGGAGGTGTTGCGCACGCGATGCCCCCACGTTTGGTCGATGCGTTCTCCCGCATGGACTCGGAAGTCAATGAGAGCTGTACCAGAGTTGAGTTGGCGCTCATCTTCTAAAAAACGTCGTGCTTAAAAGGAACATGATGTAGGTGACGCCGTCGGTATGGCGATCACCTATGTTAACGCCAAAATTGATAACTGCTGGGGGGACTCTCGTGGCTATGGTCCGTGCGAGACCTCCCAAACCTCGCTGCAGGGCTGCAGCTTGCTGGGAGGGTGTCACGGCGCCTGTGGTCACGTTGATCCAGGCATGTACCTCGCGAGCGAATTCGCGGAAAGGTACCGGACCGGCTGGATCCCAATGAGGGCTGGTCGTTCTTGTGTCGTCTGCACCACGCATATGTCCTACCGCACACCCGATAGCGACCCATGTGAGCCCAAAGATAGTAACAGCAATCCAATGGCCTTGCAAGTCGTAGTCGGATGTAGTAGGTTGGGGCTTCTGATGTGCGGTTGTAAGTCTGCGCGGGGGTGGAGGCGGCGCCGCGTCGCATCGCATGTTTCCATGCACTACGTCTTCGAAGAATTTTCCAATTGGAGTAGGTGGGTGGGCTTCAGGAGTGTAGTAGCGCAGGGATGTAGGACGGAAGTAAGAGGCCTCCGCGTAAGCGGAGGTGTCGCTGCAAGCGTCCTTGCTATACTGCGTAGTTATATACACTCCTCCTCGCAAGCCCACTGCACCCTGATGTTCCACCATGTCTGTAGTCCACCAAATAGTGCCGTGGATGGTGAGGAGTAGACCTAGAGCTGACCACCATAGGCCAGCTCCGCTACCAAGTTCGAAAGGGGTTGGGAGGCCCAACCAGCAGCTTCGCCTTAGGCGAAGCACAGTCCCAGCTCTGTTGTACCGTAGTAACGATAGTCCCACTAGTAAAGGGCGTACCATCTTAAGCAGTAGGAGGGTCTTTTGGTCTCGATGGCTAATCGTATGCCTCACAATGAGGCACAAACATATCTGGGCGGCCGGCCGCTTGAGCCGACGCGGCCGCGGGCGCACGTTCGCTTCCGCTCCTTATGTCCCTCAGCTCGTTTTAGAGTTCAAGATGGCCCCAAGACGGCCCAACAGAGCACCAAGAGGAGCCCAGGAAGGACACAAGACGGCCTCAAGAGCGCCCAAGAGCGCCCCAAGAGAGCCCCACGAGCGCCCAACGACGGCACCAAGACGCCATGTTTGAACCTCCGAAGGGGGGGCTGAATTTAGGACCCCCCCTCTTTTTGAACAGTGGGGCCCAAAATTGCCCCAAGACGCCTCCCAGACCCCCCCAAAGCCCCAAGAGGCCCCCTAGACCCAGCAAAAGAATACACAGAGGGCCCCGAGGCTGAGGCTGAGGCTGCGCCTGTGTCGTCCCAGGGGGGACGGCCCTACGCGGGGCTAGGCGGTGGCGCCGGGGCGCCGGCATCACTCGAACGTCTCATAATCGGATATATGACAATTGGGGCTGGGGTCGGAGAGAACTGGAGTCGGAAAGTTGAGAGCCGGAGTCGGAGAGACATGCGCCAGAGTCGGAACGTCGGAAGCCGGACACGGGAGTACCGCAAGTGGCTCCGCGAGGACCCAAAAGAGACCCAAGATGGCTCCAAGAGACCTCCGAAGAAGCACTTCCAAGGCGGTTGTTACACTGCATGCTTCTACACAATGAAGCGAAGCCGCGGTGCTGGACCACGTCGCCGAGGAAGTGCATACACGTGGCAGACAGAACTTGCCATCCGAACATGTGCGGTGGCCATCTGATAGATCCGCCGAGCGAGGAGGTTGACGATGAAGGCGTGGAGCGCTGAAAGTGCATCAAATCTGAAATAACTCCCAAGCCAGCGCGACAGCCGCAAAGCAGGCGCTTACCAGAACACCAGACGGAGGTGTGAACAGCATGATTTCGAACATTGCGTCCATGCATATCGTTCCAGCTGAACCTAGCAGCAAGCACAGGCTTGACCCAAGATAGCCACGGGCTAACAGACAGATGGCAAGTAAGAAGAGGAGGAGGAGGAGGAGAAGGATCAAATGCCTTCGTCTCCTCGCCCGAGGCTGCAGCAGCGGCTTCTTGCTCTAAGAACTGTCGCAAGGACTGGGCGTCGTGCTGACGCAGAGGATCCCTCCCGCCTCTGGACTGCAGCTCACAAAATCGCTCCCACCTGAACTTCTGCTTTGGGGTGCCGCCATAATACAGATCCAAAACCCTCATCGCCAGAACCCCGTGCGACTCTGCGTCGAGATCCGGGTCTGCGTCTGTCGGCCAGGCGCTAAGCAGATTGAAGAAGCCCTCCAGGAACGCGTCGTCGTGCTCCGCGGGATGGTTCTGCTTGTCGCCGTATAAGTCGCAGTAGACGTTCCACCTCGCTTTCTCCAGGTCGGTCCCGTGGTCCTGCAGCGCCGTCACCCTGTTGACCCACGTTCTGCCCTCCCGCGGCTCGGGCGGCGCAGCGGGGGCCTCTGCGACGCCTGCCTGCTGCATCTGACCCGTGAGTGCCTCGGCCCACTCCGCCTGCTCGCACCTGAAGCGGAAATCTGAACGCAGGAATTCCTATGCAGAGGGACTCGTGCCACGGGAGGAGGGACAGGGGGAGGAGCGGATGTGGGGCAGGGAGGGGACCGTTCATCCGACGTGAATGATTTTTCATAGATTGACGACCTTCTGCAGACCGCGATCGCGGTGCTGAAAGTGGCGTGGGTGGGCACAACGCCCTGCTTCTGCATGTCCTGAGAATCAGAATCGCTGAGACATGTTGTTGCTCCCTGAAGTCAAATTCCCGGTAGACAATACCATACCTAAACCGATGTCCTGGAAAACACAAGTTCTTTCACAATTGCCCGACGCTGAAAACCTTCGTTACCCTGCCGCTGACCTCTCGTGGGGGTGCACGGTGCACTTCTCATTTCCGCCAGCTTCCGTCAGCCTTCTGCAAACTCCCGCCGGCGAAGACACCCTCGCTTTGCGCTCGCCTGCTTCCGCGTGCCCTCAACCGGCCGCCACCGAGGGCGAGATGACAACTTGTCGGCCCCCCTGTAGGCGAGGCCGTATTTGAAACGCCATCTTTGCATTCTCGGACGTCCGTGACGAGATGGACGGCCCACTGCCACTGATCGCCACTCGCGCACGCGCCCACGGCGCAGGCAAAGGTCTGCTCGTCTGGCTGCAAACCTGGGGCGCACGAAGAGGATGCCTACCTGACTCGGCCCCGCCGTGCCCCACTCTGTCGGCACAATAATCCTTTGAAGAAAAACTGTAGCCCTGAAATGTTCCAGACGGGCTGTGTCACGAAATACTTCCCCCCTCCCCACCGGTCCAGGCGTCCCGGACAAGTCAAAATGGGGCGCGTTCGCCCCCGTCATGCCCGTGGGAACATCATTGGTCATCGGGCCAGCTCGAACAATCACGCACAGCGAGAGGGGTTGACAGCTCCAGTGGCGATCGGCTCGCGAGGTCGCGTGTTTTTCGCAAAGGCAAGGCCCCCTCCCCTTCCTCAGCGGCACCCCCCATCCCCCCCCTCCTCTTCCCCGTGCCCCCGCCTCCGCAACATCCCCATCCCATTATCCCCCTCGTCTTCGAGCATCCCCCCACCTCTCCAAAAAAGGCGCAACTTCCCCAGCCCCCCCGGCATCGCAAGACGTCGGTCCGAAAAGCTCAACCTCGTCCCCATGACCAGTTTCCCGACGCAGATCGATTTTCGAGGGTCCCGAGGCCCAGAAAGGGTCTCTGGATACCCAAAACGCTCAACAACAAGCCCACTGGCATAGAAGCCCTCAACAGCAACGCGGTAGGCCCCCTGTGCTTGAAAACGAGGCACTGCACGGGCACAATACTAAATAGGGGACACAACGCGGCGAGCGCACGGCATGGGAACGGCACGCGGGCGGCAAATGCTTCGCACCCCGGCAAGCTGGCAGGGTACGGCAGGCGGGCGGCACAGTTGCTGCACTCTGACACGCAGGCATGGCACGCGGGCACGGCACGGCACGGCAAGGCAGGCGGGCGGCACATGTGTCACGTACTACAGCGCAGGCACGGTGCGGCACGTCGGCACGGCACGGCACGCGGCTGGTCCAATTCTCGCACTCCTGAATGCAGAGCCGCCGAGCCTATGATTCTCGAAACCCCTTCCAGAATTCGCTGGTTAGGGACAAGCATGGGATCATAATAGAAGGCCCGACTGAAACTGGCAATTCGCGTTCCGTCGGGGTTCTCTGAAAGTGGCGGGGGGCGCAACCTAAAAACAAACATGTCTGACGTCGCTGGTCAGACTGGTCAGGCTCCTCTGAAGGTTATGGCGACTCTTGCTAAGTCCAGCCTGAGCCCCCGAAGCCGACATCCAAGCAGCCCCATGGGGGGGCGGAGATGGTCGAATGTGAATATTGCAACCCCCGTTTTCCCGTTTTCGAGGGGGGGGTACCCGTCCTCCATGCACCCTCCCCCTGGCTCTGAGGGGGGCGCCCCTCGACGGGTTAGAACGCCCAGAAGGGCCCAATATCACCCTCAGATGGCAGCAGGGCAACATTGTTTCCAAGATGGCATAAGATAGCCGAACATGGTTCAAACTTGCATCTACGATGCCTCCAGGATGCCCCTTGCCTCCCAAAACTGTTTCCGATAGACCCGTATCATCCATCTAAAGCAAGCAAGTAATGTTGCAGTAGCGCTTGTGATGTGCTTCGAACCCTTGGTACGAGCTCACCTTTGGAACGACAAACATATGTAAACGGCACACCCCCCGCATGTATCGGTACATCTTTGGGGGCATCAGGTCATAATTATTTTCCTTTCGTAGAAGAATTACGTTTTGCGCCACCGATGTGGTGCAATGTACGTGATGCAATATACGTGGCGGAATCGATGTTGTGCACCCTACGTTGCGCAATACATGGTTTGATCCATATATGTACTCATTATAATATATGAAGTGAGATTTGCGTGGTACAGTGCCTAGATGTGGTTCAATCTATGCTGTGCAGTGCACCCTGCCGAACTTGACATTGTCAACTCCATTGCTCGCGCAACCATCCCGTTCACACACCCACAAATTGGTCTGAAAAACCCATGCGGCGGCGATTGCGATGTGTGCTTGGCCCTGGAGGGCGCATCTTTGCAATCGCCCTAACGCGCAGGCTCGTGCACAGGGCGACCAGCTGGTCAGGCGGGACCGACGCGACTGCGATGGCCCTGATCGCTGGGGACTTCCCAACACGTGTCACAGGCCGCACTGACGCGCAGGCACCTCGGTGCGAGTCGGTGAATCGGGCGGGCGCGGTATCATGGCGACGTCGACAACGGCCGACACGATGATGATACGAGCGACTATGAGTGAAAACGGCGACAACAACGACAGCACGGCCAATGACGACGCCGATGCTGATCATGCCGGTGATGATGAGTATGATGATGATAAGGATAAAAATGATGATGATGATGATGATGATGATGATGATGATGATGATGATGATGATGATGATGATGATGATGATGCTGATGCTGATGATGATGATGATGATGATAGTGATGATGATGGTGATGATGATGCTGATGATAATGGTGTCCACGCGTCGGCGACGAAGGTTTTGGAAGGATTCCCGCATGCGCGCGCGACGACGTGCGCGTGAGGACTTTGTCCCACTTGTTGCAAGGGGCTCTTGGATCTGATGACTATTGATAAACAAGTGCGCGCGCACAGTATTGCTTGACAGGGATGAAGGGGGGCGGTACCAGCCGGGCTGGGATGGGGCAGACTCATACGTAAATCGTACTATCCCGGAGAAGGCCGTTAAACCCGGGGCGGGGATGGTAGATCCGAACTTCTGCTTAGAAGCGGAAATCTACGCGGCGCAAGTCACCATGCCGAACTTGAGGTTGTCAACTCCGTTGCTCGCGCGCGCCTACCCACCCGCAACTGGGTTTACAAAACCCCTGCGGCGGCAATTGCGATGACTGCTTGGCGCTGACTGGCGCGTCGTTGCGGCCGCGCGGGCGCAAGCATGCTCGCGCGCAGAGCGACCAGCTGGTCTGGCGGGACCGACGCGACTGCGATGGCCCTGATCCCTGGGGACTTCCCAACACGTCTCGCAGGCCGCACTGACGCGCAGGCACCTCGGTGCGAGCTGATGACTCGGGTGGGCGCGGTTTCACGGCGACATCGACAACGGCCGACACGATGATGAAATTAGCGATGCGAGCTGACGACGGCGACAATGACGACGGCACGGCCAATGACGTGCCGATGCTGATCACGCCGATGTTGACGATGATGATGATGACGGTGACGATGATGATGATCATGCAGATGATGAATATGGTGATGATGATGATGATGACGATGACGATGATGATGATGATGATGATGATGATGATGATGATGATGGTGATCATGATGATGATGATGATGATGATGATGATGATGATGATGATGATGATGATGATGATGATGATGATGATGACGATGGTTTCCCCGCGCTGGCGATGAAGGTCTTGGAAGGATTTCGATATGCGCACGCGGCCGAAGGACGCGAGTGGCCTTCATGGTACTATGTGACAACGATCGTGCCCCACCAGCACGCGCGCAAGGGCGTTCGAAGGATTTCGACATGCACGCGCGAGAGGCCCGTTTGGCCGCATGTGATGAAACAGTTATGAAAACCTATGGCTATTGTAAATAAGCGCGCATATTATTTTGGACACACAATGTTGCAGCACCATATGGTTTTCACATACTGTCGGGACGCTCGATCTTGACATTCCTACGACGCCGACGGATTTTGAAGGATATTGCCATGCGCCCGCGACGACGCGCGAACGTGGACTCTGTCCCATCTCACGCCAAGGATGTTCGGAAACTGGCGACTACTGATAAACAAGCGCGCGCGCTCAGTGCTGCTTGACAGGGGTGAGGGGGGGGATGTCGGCTGGGCCTGGGTGGGGCCCGAACTTCTGTTTAGAAGCGGAAATCTACGCGGCGCAAGCCACCATGCCGAACTTCAGGTCGTCAACTCCGTTGCCCGCGCGCGCCTACCCACCCGCAACTGGGTTTGCAAAACCCCTGCGGCGGCACTTGCGATGACAGCTCGGCCCTGACTGGCGCATCGGTGCGGCCGCGCGAGCGCGCGCAGGCTCGCGCGCAGAGCGGCCAGCTAGTCTGACGCGAGCCAGTGACTCGGGAAGGCGCGGCATCATGGCGACGTCGACAACTTCAGAAACGATGACGTTAGTAGCGACGCTGGTGACGATGGTGACAACGACGACGGCGCGGCCAATGATGGCGCCGATGCTGATCAAGCCGATGACGATGATGGTGTCCACGCGTCGGCGATGAGAGTTGTCGCAGGCTTTCGACAGGCGCGCGCATTGTGGCGCCTCCTGGGCCAGCTTAGGCTCTTCGAGCCCTCATTAGAAAGTCTTGAAGGTATCTTGGAAGAGCGAATGGTGACGTCCTGGGGCCCTTCTTCATGGCCTCCCGAGGCATCTCCGGGCGCCTGTTAGGGCAGCTTGAAACCATCTTAGGATCGTGTGGGAGGGGGCTGTTGTGCCCTCCAGGGGTGCCTCTCAGGACCAAGATTCGACTTTCCGGGGGTATTCTGGGCCATCTGGAGTTTCACCAAGAGCACGGCAATTGGAAAAGCGTTAAACCAAGAAAAAAGTGCAAAAGCATATGGTGTGGGGTTGTTCTACCTCTCTCTCTCTCTCTGTCTCAGTTTCTTTCTCACTCTCTTTCTCTCTTTCTCTCTTTCTCTCTTTCTCTCTTTCTCTCTCTCTCTTTCTCTCCCTTTTTCTTGTTTGGTTTAATGTGTTCTCTCTCTCTCTCTCTCTTTCTCCCTCTCTCCCCTAGGAGTAGATTGCAACCATCTTAGAGGATTGACTGGGCCTCTGGGGAATTTTGGCACCCTCTGGTGCATTCGACTTTCCCGGGGTATTCAGGACCAACTCGAGTTTCACCAAAAGCATGGCGATGGGAGAAGCGTTCAACCAAGACAAATGTGTAGAAGCATATGCTGGCTGTTTGTTCTAGCTCTCTCTCTCTCTCTGACTCGTTCTCTCTCTCTCTCTCTCTCTCTCTCTCTCTCTCTCTCTCTCTATATATATATATCCTTGCTTAATATGATTGTTGTTAATGTTATTATCTCTGTATGCATGTATCTCGCTCTCTCTTTCTCTCTCTCTCTCTCTCTCTCTCTCTCTTTCCTGGGAGTAATTTGCAACCATATTAGAGGATTGACTGGGCCATCTGGGGCATGCGACTCTCCTGGGGTATTCAGGGTCATCTGGAGCTTCACCGAAGGCATGGCGATGGGAAAAGCGGTAAACCAAGAAAAGCACATAAAAGCATATGGTAACTGTTTGCTCCAGCTCTCTCCTTCTCTCGATATATCCCTCTCTCTCTCTCGTTCTCACGTTCTCTCTCTCTCTCTCTCTCTCTTTTTCTCTTTCGCTATTGTTATTTCTCGTTGCGTTTCTATAGATCAGTATCTCTCTCATCTCTTTCGTTTTCCTAACCATCCTGTGGCGTTGGGTAATCGTTTTGATGAGACCTTCCCCGCGTGCACTCCTTCTCCCGCTGCCCCCTCCCTCCTCTTCTTATGATCATCATCGTCACCCCCCGTTTCGGCACAAGCGACACATGTTTCGTGGCCCCAGAGGGAGCTCCACCGAAGGCCCCAGAAGCACCGTCCACATGCGTTCGCCACACCCATGTCGGCACACCCCTCACACCTTCCGTGGCCCCAGAGGGAGCTCCACCCAAGGCCCCAGAGGCACCGTCCACATGCGCCCGCCACACCCATGTCGGCATTCCCCTCACACGCTTCGTGGCCCTTACACGCTTCTGATCATCATCATCTTCATCGCCCGTTTCGGCACAACCGTCACACGCTTCGTGGCCCTATAGGGGGCTCCACCGAAGGCCCCAGTGCTACCGTCCACTTGCGCCCGCCACACCCAGTACAACTTTTCGTGGCCCAATAGAGAGCTCCACCGAAGGGCCCAGTGGCACCGTCCACATGCGTCCGCCACACCCATGTCGGCACACCCCTCACACGTTTCGTGGTCCCATAGGGATCTCCACCCAAGGCCCCAGAGGCACAATCCACATGCGTCCGCCACACTCATTTCGGCACACCCTTCACACGCTTCGCGGCCCCGCAGGGAGCTCCACCGAAGGCTCCAGAGGCACCGTCCACATGCATCCGCAACACCCATTTCGGCACACCCCTCGCACGCTTCGTGGCCCCATAAGGAGCTCCAACGAAGGCCCCAGAAGCACTGTCCACATGCGTCCGCCACACCCATGTCGGCACACCCCTCACACGTTCGTGGCCCCAAAGGGAGTTCCACACAAGGCCCCAGTGGCACCGTCCACATGCGACCGCCACAACAGTTTCGGCACACACACACACACACACACACACACACCACACGTTTCGTGGCCCCAAAGGGAGCTCCACCCAAGGCCCCAGAGGCACCGTCCACATGCGTCCGCCACACCCATGTCGACACACCCCTCACACCTTTCGTGGCCCCATCGGGAGCTCCACCCAAGGCCCCAGTGGCACCGTCCACATGCGTCCGCCACACCCATGTCGGCACACACATACACACCACACGTCTCGTGGCCCCATAGGGAGCTCCACCGAAGATGAGACTCACGACTGCGGTGCTCACAGCTGCATATGACTTGGTCCTTCGCCAGGTTTTGTTTTTTTTTCTCTCTCTCTCTCTCTTTCTCTCTCCCTCTATCTCTCTCTCTCTCTCTCTCTATCCCTCCCTCCCAAGAGTAGTTTGCAACCGTCTTAGAGGCTGGACTGGTCTTGGGGACCTCGTGTCAACCCTGGAGGAACGCGAGACGGCCAGATGGGTCCCGCAGGCTTCCGCCGACTTCTGCCAGCGTTCCCTGCCAGCGTGGAACGCGTCGCGGCGGGATCACTCAGGAAGGGTACCCAGGCAGACGACCCCCCAGGGGGACAAACAACAGAAACCCCATCCACAAGGTTGTGGGTGGAGGAAACAAAAACCGTCTCGATGTGTTTAATCTAGATGCTTGTGACCCCTGACACCCGCGGAGCGCATGCCCTCGAGATAGTGGAGTGCGTGTTGCCACTGCCCGGCGCTCTCGCAGGCGGCGAGGACGAGATTGTAGGTCTCCACGTCTGGCACGAGGCCGACCCGGGCCATGTCCCCGAACAGCGACAGGACCCACTCCTCGGAGGCACGAGAACGACACGAATGCACAGTGCCATGAGCGGACCCCTTTCGGCCCCGCTCGAGGGCAGCATGGTGCATGGCCTCTTCGGCCCCCAAGGGCCGAAACCCTGTGCACCGTACCTCATGTAGGTCGAAAATTGGCGACGCGGCGCAGTGCGTGCAAGCCGATCGCGGCGAAGAAATTCCCTGGCCTGCCTTTGGGCCGTTCACTGTGATCTGGTCTCCTGCTGCACTCGGCTGCGCTTGCTCGCTTCGCCCAGGTTCGCACGTCGCGGCGCACGAAGCGCGAAGCGAAGTTGTCTTCGCGCTCTCACGCCGCCCCAAAGAGAAGAACAACTCTGACGGAGGCCGCCCAGATTGGGCCAGAGTAGACGGGGTCGAAGGATCGCAACAGGTCGCCGATCCATCGGCGGTGCGGCCACGTCGTGTGGATGGGGAGTCAACGCAGAACACGGCCCTCTCTTCACATAGGGACGGGGGGCCGCGAAGCAGGCAGGCGCAAACGCGCTGAAGCCCCCGTGGTGCATGATCCGCGTCAGGGGTGTGCCGACATGGGCGGGGGGCAGGGTGCGGGAACGCCCACTGGGGCAGTAAGCGGAACCCCCTGCGGGGCAAGATACGTGTCATGGGTGTGCCGAAATTGGCGGGGCGGCACGCGAGCGCGCCCACTGGCGCGCAGTGGGTGGGACCCCCTGTGGAGCACGATCCGTGTGAGGGGCGTGCCAAAATGGGCGCGGCATGCGGCATGCGGACTCCTACTGGGGCCGCAAGTGGCGATCCCTACGGGGAGCGATCCGTGTGAGGGCAACCGAGACGGGCGACGTGGACGCGGCGGATACGCCACAGCGCGCCGACACGGCGGACGAGCGCGCCGCGGCATGCGGACCTTGCAGCTGCCACTAGGGCCAGTGGTGGACCACATCAATGTGGGGCGCGGCCAGTACGAAGACTGCGACGAGACGAGCGCGTCGCGGCAAACGAGCGCCTCCACTGGGGCCGTAGGTGGAGCCCCCTTCGGGGTACGATCCGGGTGAAAGGTGTGCCGAAGTGAGCGCGGCGCGAAGGCTGGATTTGGGGGAGCAACGGTCTCTGGGCCAAACAACCCCTTGATCCTTGATGAATAAACCTCGGCTCGCCTGTGAAGGCGGCCAAAGTCCTTTGATACTGCGGGTACATCGTTCACGCCGCTATATATAGACTGTCGAGACGACGGAAGAGTTGATTGAAGAGAGGCGGCGCGCGCGGCCCCCTTCTTTTCCCGCGCGCCGCTCGACTGCAAAGTGCGCTGCCGCGGGCGCCCCCCTCCTCGATCCTCGGAGGAAGCAGGAGAGGCCAGGCAAGGAGCGTGGGAAGCCAAGGCCCTCGAAACCCACGCGGCGTCCGACAACGAGAGGTCAACACACACTCCCCGCCTGGACGCCCCTAACGGGGAGGGCCCTGGGAACGAGTTCACCCCGGGACCCCGCCCAAGAACACAGGGGAGGAGAAAACCAGGACCCCCAAACAACAAAGAGGGCGCAACGTTTCCGGGAATGAAGGAGATAGAAGGAGGCGCCCCACCCCCTTCAGAGGCGGGGCGGATACGCTCGACCGAGAAATCAAGCGCGGTAGCGATGGGACTTCGCGAATATGTATGTATGTGTATGTATACATAGATACGTATGTAAATGTCTATACATACATACATGCATGCATGCGTACGCACGTTCATACATATATATATATATGTGAATATACATACATTTACATACATGTACGCAAATATAGATGCATACACCTATATATACATACATACATACATACATACATACATATATATATACATACATACATACATACATACATACATACATGCATGCATGCATGCATGCATGCATACATACATACCTACATGCATGCATGCATGCATGCATGCATATATGTATATATATAGTATGTACGTGCATGCGTACATCCATACATACGTACATACGTACATGTGTACATACCTACATACATGCATACATACATACATACATGCATACATACATACATACATACATGCATGCATGCATGCATGCATGCATGCATAAATACATGCATGCGTACATGTGTACATGCGTACATACGAACATACATATAGACATACATACATACATATATACATACATACATACATACATACGTACATACATACATGCATGCATACCTACCTACCTACCTACCTATCTACATACATACATACATACATACATGCATGCATACATACATACATACATACATACACACCCACACACACATACCCACATACACACATACACACACATACACACATACCTACCGGTATATATATATATATATATACACACTAGAACCACGCGCGCGCTGCGCGCGCAATTAGGTTCTAGACACAGCTCGTCCATGGCTCTCGTTTTCGCTCGTGTCATGGGCGGCACTGCGAATTTTCACGCATGCGAGTTTTGCGGAGCCTCCGTCCGCCTCGGCCCTCTCCTGTCCTCGGCCCTCTCGGACCTCGCCGTTGCTGTGGTCCTCCTCCTCCTCCTCCTCCTCCTCCTCCTCCTCCATTCTTTTTTCGTATACATAAGTTCTCCCTGTCGCACCCCGAGGCCCGTTTGTAGGGCGGGCCAGGCGTTTCGCCTGAGACTTCCTCACCACTTACACCCCTGAAGCTTAACAACTGACAACAGCTTTACAAATAAAGGGCGGGTGATTTTAAAATTGTGGCTCTCGCCTTAGCGCTGCGCACATTCGTTCTACAAAGCTGCAAGAGCTTCACGGATTGAAGGCCACCCACTTTCAAAATGTGGCTCTCGCCTTAGCGCCGCGAACATTCGCCTTAAACATGTGTTGAGGTTCACGGATTCAGGGCGACCCATTTTCAAAATGTGGCTCTCGCCTTAGCGCCGTGCACACTCGTTCTAAACAGTTGCAAGATTTTCACGGATTGAGGGCGGCTCCTTTTCAAAATGTGGCCTTCGCTTCAGCCCCGCGCATATTCGCTTACATCATTTGCAAAAGATCCACGGGTTCCCATGGTCTACGTACCAGACACGCTGCTTTGGAAAGGTTCATGATTTTGCGAATGCAACAGTTACGTTGGTTCGCGGTGTTGAAGTCCCAAGAATGGCCTTGTGGAACGATTCAGGGTCGTCAAGATGCAATAGTCAGGTTGATGCATGGCGTTGTAATCCCGAGAACAATGTTGTGGCATGCTTCAGAATCTTCACACGGTTGTCTTCCAACAAGGCAGCTCCCTCAATGAAAATGAACCGTTGTAGGGGCGTATGAAGAGAGAGCTGGGAGGGAGGGTTTATTCCAACATCGTTGATGACTATTGGGTTTACACTGGTCCTCCTCCTCCTTCTCCTCCTCCTCTTCTCCTTCCTTTTCTGCTCCCTCCGTGGTTATTCGTTTCCCCTTTCCCTGCTCCCTCTTTGTTCCTCCGCCTGCTCCTGTTCCTCCTGTTCCCCCTCCTCCCCCCTATCTCCTCCTCCTTTCCCACCCTCGCCCAGAAGCCGCCGCACGTCTCGAGGGGTTGGGGCGAGGTTCGAACGTCCAGGTTCGAGGTCTTTCGGATTCTGACCCTCAGGGAGGGATCCGGGAGGCCAGAAATGTCAAAACCCTGATGGCCCCTTTCCTGCAGGAGCCCTTTTCCCTCCTGGCGAAAGTTGTGGAACCTCCTCGGCCCACGACGACGACGAGACGACGACAACGACGACGACGACGACGACGACGACGACGGCGACGCTAACGACGACGACGACGACGCCGACGACGATGACGACGACGACGACGACGACGACGACGACGACGTGGGCCCTCTTTCACGGTCGAGAGGCTCGGGTCGGTCTTGTGATTACTCGTGGGTTGTCGTTTTCCTTTTGGGTTGAATAGGCCGGAGCTCCGATAAAAGTTCTAAGTCTAAGGAAGACAATGAATGTTGGGTCTTGGGGGCGAAGGCCGTTTGGGAACCCTCTTGGGATGTCTGGAGGGCGGTCTGGGCGGTCTGGAAGCCTTCGTGGAGCCCATCGGGAGTGCGGTGGGCCGACAGGAGGCGACCGCGGGCGTGTGGGAGTGATTTCCAGCGACTCATGTGCGACTCGGCACCTTGTTGGACTGTCCCGGAGGTGTCTTGGGGTGGTGATTCTATGGCTGGGTTGAAGCGCCGGCAAGCCGAACAGGCGGACACCCCAAAAAACATCAAAGGCTAGGGACAACAACAAATGTGAGCCTCTGGAGGTTTTCTTGACGGCCGTCTGGGACCCCTCCTGGAGCGTCTGGGGCCGGTTTGGGCCGTCTGGAAGCCTTCGTGGAGCCCATCGGGGGCGCGCGTGGGCCGTCGGGAAGCGACCGCGGGCGTGTGGGAGTGATTTTCTGGCGACTCAGGGGCGACTCGGTGCCTGGGCTGTCCTGTAGGTGTCTTGGGGCGGCTTTGGGGCCTCTTGGGCGCTCTGGGCCCCCAGGGGGGAGCCTCTACCGCCCTAAAGCCGGCGGTGGTGTTTCGGAGCGTCGGCCAAAATCGAAGGGAAACCAATTAATTTGTATCTAGAGGCCCTTTTGAAGGCCGTCTGGGAACCCTCTTGGAATGTCTGGGGGGCGGTGTGAACAGTCTGGAAGCCTTCGTGGAGCGCCTCGGGGGCGTGGTGAGCCGTCAGGAGGCGACCGCTTGCGCGTGGCGCCCTTGGGGGGAGCCCCTGACAGTCCTGAAGCGAGCGGTGGTGCTTCGAAGGCTGGGTTGGAGCATCGGCATGCTGAAAAGGCGGACCCACAAAAAAACAGCCAAAGCCTTAGGGAAACCACAGGGGGCCGTATGGTACCCCTATTGGAGCGTCTGAGGAGCCTTCTGGGGCCGTCTGGAACTCTTCGCTGAGCGCCTCGGGAGAGGGATGAGGCACCTAGAGACAACCACAGGCATCGAGAAGTGAACTTCCGGCGGGATACACAACGACGCCAACCGAGCATCGGGCCGCCTCTGGTCGCCCGGGTATCGGACTCGA